GCAGCGCTTTGCAATACAGGCAGTCCACGGGTTACGGACGTCCGACTTACGGACAATCCGTACTTACGTACACATTGTCTGGCAGATAGTTCCCAAATATATATTTGCACAGTGAATTTAGCTGCCTATACTTGCTATAATATCTACTGCTTGGGTCTTCAGTCTAGGTTAACGACCAGAGGTGAGGACAGGAACACAGACAGAGCAATGTGCTGACTGAAAATGATCGTACTTGCCTGGTTTTCGAGTAAGGATTATATTTTATTTTAGACATTTTTTTATCAATATTATGTATTATTATATTAAATTTATATTAAATTGTGCCACATATGGGAATACTGCCAGGGAGGTTAATATTAATGAAATCCACTACTGGTAGATGGATTCACGATTATCAATTTGTAAAATAATGATTATAATGATTTATTTTATCAATATATATTATCTATCTAGCTATCTATCTAGTTCTACTCTTCTAATATTAACAATTAGTTATATTTGGTAATTAGTTCCCAAAAAAGGTGATGCAGATCCCTGAAAAGCATTGGCCACCTGCTGGAACCTTCAATCTTAAAAATATGTTAGTATGCTACAAAGATCAACGTCCTCTGGATTCCCTGCATCTCCTTTGGATATAGGCATTGCCCCTCTGATTAGACTGGCGGCCTTGTACGCTCTCTCATCTATAATCTGGTAGATGGCCTGCTTGCCTGCAGTCCCTTATCCAGTCCATTTATAGAGCTCACGTTCTCTCTATCCATCCACTTAAATATGATCCACAGGTTTTTGACTTCCTTTTTTGTCCTGCTAGAGTCCCATGGCTTCTTATCAGTAATCCAGTGAAGGACACTTTAGCCAGCCCCTCAGCCTGCAATAGGCGGGCAACAGGGAACCAAAGGCCACACTAAGCTCAAATGTAAAATGAAATATTTGTCAATCTTAGCAGTAGCTCCTTTATAAACTGCAAATTCATGAAAATCCAAAAAAGTAAAAAAAAAAAAGGCAATATTCATAACAATCAATAAAACAATCACCTCTCTAAGAGTACTTCTTTCCAGCTCTCATTGCAACTAATATGTAGTTTATACAATGGGTGTTTGCAAATGCACGCGTATCGCGTAAATGGGGTGGGGGGATTAAAAACAAAAATAAAATTGTGGGCAGAGATGTATTTTTGTGTAATCTGTACTTAGATTCAGCAAATCCTTTTTCAAAACCTGAACTGAAAGAGAAAGTCAAGTTTTGATATGAGAAACAAGAGCTTTCAGAGAGAGGCATAAGCATGAGTGGTAGAGCGGGTGGTGAATGGGGGGCTTAGGCAGCACTCACCTCTTCCCGTAATTTTATCAACTGCAACGTGAATCCACAAAGAAAGATAAAAAGGAAACAGAAGCAAGAGAGAGAGAGAGATCAGCTGTGTGACAGGATACAGAATTAACATTGACAATTTATCTGTTTACATGTTTAGCATTTAAAAATCACAGGCAAACACATTAAAAGGAGCTAAACATAAGACTACACGCCGGGTGGGTTTTTTTTTTTTTCTGCCTTCTTTTTTATTCATTTTTTTATTTTTTGTGAGCGACTAAAGATCAGTTTTCTCACACTGTCACATTAAACAGAAAGAATGGTTTGGGATTCTCTTTTAAAACCCACATCTAAGACGCAATCAT